ACAAGTCCATAATTACAAAAAATAGATGGGGGCTTAAATCTAGTTAGGACCCCAACAGCTCAAGTACATGACTGTTCTGAGTGATTCCTCTGATTTCTTCAACCTCTCATTTCTCATCTTCTCAGAAACAGCAGAATAAGAATTGGTAGAGAGCTTCTTGGCTTGAGAATAAGATCTGATGTTGTTCTTGGCATGCTGTTGAAGGGACCTCAGAGCATAGTTCCATCTGCAGAACCCTTGATCCTTCAGTGCTTCCACTGCCCCAATGCTTGCTGCTACAGTCCAAGCTCTGGTTGTAGAACTCATGCTTGCTTCTTTCTTGCTTTTGAGGATAATGATAATTGAATTGAAATGGAAATTGAGATGCTTCTTTCTTTCTTGCTTTTCTGCTTCTTTTTGCTTTGTGATGGGGGGAGAAAGGATGACTTAAATAGAGGGAGTAGCTTCAGTAAACTAGAGGCAAAAAAGACTCTGGTTTTCACAGAAACCAGGGGTGGGATCCCCCAGACACTAGGAGAGCCCATGGTTTTAAGGCAATAGTATAATATAAAAACAGATCATCTGTTTTCTACCATGGAGAAAAAAACAAGAATAGTAGATGGTGGTTCCGCACGCTTTGGCCGACTGAATTTCCGCTTGGTTTTAGTGGGAACATACTTCCGGCTTATATGTTCGAGTCCTGCTGATCTCCCTACCTTATTCCTTTGTAGTATGATGGGTTTAATTGTAATTTGTTAAAAAAAAAATTAGATGAGCCAAAAGGTTTTAGGACAGATACCACTGGCTTTGGATGGATTCTTGCTTTCAAAAAAAGAAAAAAAAAAAATGGCTATTTATCTTCTAGGAATTAGGGGCTGAACCCTTCACATCCAAAATCCAACTTGCAAGCCGTAATATACTTAATGTCATATGAATCTATGATTAAGCAGCAAAGATGTCATGTCCCCAACTATGACCTTTGTGCAACTGCGAATATAATATAATTTGAGAATATACTATTTTTAATTTGAATTGGCTAAAAAAAAATTAGTCTGAATTTAAATTGATTAAAATGTTATTAATGAATTAATGTTGAGCATTTTAATCATTTTCAAATTGATTAAGCTTGTAACTTGATAAGATACATGTTTCAATGTTTAAAGAACTGAATTCGTATCTCGCCATCCGTCCCCAATACGTAACAGGAAAAAAAAAAAAAAAAGGTTAGTCAAGGTATTGGATTTTTGTTTTCAATTGCAAATTTTACATGATTACATAAGGGTTAGTCCGAGGGACTAAGGAATTTTGGTGGCAAAATGAATGGCTCAAGTTCTCATCAAGATCAATAAAATTTGCTTACAATCTCTCCAGATGGCTCACCGAACCTTACATAGAAATATCCATAAAACTTAACTGAAATCTACAGTAAAAAAGCTATATGGATGTCGGTGTATTCACCAAGAAGAGAAATTGTTTGCTGGACTGTACATTCTAACTAGTAAATCATCCTGTGGGACGAAAAACCAATAAAAAAATAAAACCACAGTGGTGGCAGTATATGTCATGCAAAAAGAATTTGTGTGCTGGTGACAGAAATGTAAAATGGGTGCAGAATTCAGAAAGGTCATGTATAGTGACTTCTTAACTTAAGTGTGCTATATCAATGCGGTCAGGAAGTCTGAAAGTCTCAGCTGCACCAGACTTCCTTCTTTCTTCTTCCTCTTCATCAGAATCAGAATCTTCCTCTTGAGTACTAGGCCGGAAAGATGGGTCCAACACGCTCTTGGATCGGCAAAATGGGGTGGCTAGCATGCTCACTTGACGAAAGTGAGAAATTTCATTAACTACTGTGTCTTCATCTGTAGGGAGGGGTTGCTTCTATTAAAAATCAAGGATTCTCGAGAAGAATAAGATGGAATGAAAATTCAAATCACATTAAACTGAAAAATAAATTAGCTTTTAAATAGATTTTACAAGATACTTTTATCTAAAAAAATAATTAACCAAACTAATCTAATTTATTTTAAATGATAACAATCTAAAACAAATAAATAACTTAAACTTCCTAAATTATAGAGATAATGGCTAAATAATAGGATCTAATTTCCAACAATCCCTGAAGACTGTTAGTTTGAAGAAATCTAGAAAATACTATGTCTGCAATCTAGAATTTGCAGATCCTCCCTCAAACTAAATTCTACATGCTGCAAACACCAAGTAGGTTTCTCAATTTTGAAAAAGTTGCTACTTTGAGGGGTTTTGTGAATATATCAGCCACTTGATCTTCAGTTCTGCAGTAACTCAACTCAATTGTTCCATCTTCTACCAGGTTGCGTAAGAAATGATACCTCACATGTATATGCTTGCTTCTCCCGTTCAGAACTGGATTTCTAAAAAGCTTGATAGCTGAACTGTTATCACAATAAATTGAAGTGGCCTCATGTTGATTCAGCTCAAGTTTTTCTAGAACTCTTCTCAACCAAATAGCTTGACAAGCACAAGAAGTCGATACCACATACCCTGCTTCTATTGTGGATAAAGTCACAATGGGCTGTTTCTTAGAAGACCATGAAACTGACCCATATCGCAACATAAAAACAAACCCAAAAGTGCTTTTTCTGTCATCCAGATCTCCAACATAATTATTGTCTATAAAACATGCGAGATCTATTTGGTCACCCTTGTTGTAGAATAGCTCAAAATCTGCAATTTCATGTAAATACCTGAGAATTCTTTTAGCAATCTGCAAATGCAACTCCTTTGGATGTTCCATATATCTGCTACTCAGACTTACACCATGCATTATGTCTAGTCTTGTTGCTGTCAGATACATCAAACTTCCAACAATCTACTTATATAGTTTGTTGTCCACAGATCTACCACTTGGATCTTTCACGAGCTTTACACTTTTGCCAACTAGTGTAGTGACAGAATTGCAGTTCTTCATTTGAAATCTATCTAGAACTTCCTACACATATTTTTCTAACCAACAAAAATTCCAGAATCTGATTGTACTACTTCCAAACCAAGAAAATAATGCAACAAACCCAAATATGTCATATCAAACTCAAGTTTCATGGATTGCTTGAACTTTTCCAACATGCCAAAATCATTCTTCTCATTGTGTTATGCAAAGTTTGAACTTTCTCCTTTATTCAGATTAGCACGACACTTAGATTTCTCCCCTATTCAGATTAGCACGACACTCAGAACAATAATGGACATACTTATGACATCTGAAGCATTCAGCATTTGCCTTGCTTGTTGATTTGGATCTGTTATCTGCAACTTGATAATTTCTGTTCTACCACCTCTTTTGATTTCTGGTGGTTGAACTTTCCTCCAGTCTGTCAGATCTTGGTTTGCCAAATTTCGATCTACCTTTTCAGTTTTCCTTTCCTTGACCTATAGCCCTTGAATTTATTGTGGTCTGCAGGGCTTGCGTATGTGAAATATGCACTGCTTGCTTTTGCTTGTCTTGGTGATTTATCTTCCGCTCATGAATTAACAATGAGTTTGCAACTCATCAAGGGAAAGGGCCTCAATATCATTTGACTCCTCAATTGAACAAACAACATAATTGAATTTTGTTGTCATGGACTGAAGGATTTTCTCAACTATGGCAACATCCTCTAGATTTTCACCATAGATCCTCATCTTGTTTGCAATTGCCATTGTCCTTGAAAAATAATCATTTACAGATTCACTAATCTGCATCTGTAGACTTTCAAATTATGCCCATAAAGTCTGGTGCTATTATCGCTTCGCTCTTTCATTCCCCTGGTACTTCTTCTTCATGGAATCCCAAATAGTCTTGGAAGTAGACTTGTTAAGAACTGTTTCCAGGATAGCCCGACCTATGGTTTGGAACAAATAGTTCTTAGCCTTGAGATCCTTCAACTTTTTCTTCTCAATTTATGCCCTCTGTGCATCATTTGCATCTACCGTTGGTTTTGGAACTCCAACTTCAACAACAGTCCAATACTCTTTGAAATCAGAGAAAATTCTTCGTCAACATATTCCAATGGTCGTAGTGATAACCATCAAAACGAGGGATTGAGGGTTGGACATAATTTTCGGAAGCCATGGAATTTGCTGGGAATAGACTCTGATACCAAGTTAAAAATCAAGGATTTCTGAGAAGAAGATGATGAAATGAAAATCCAAATTACATTAAACTGAAAAATAAACTAGCCTTTAAATAGGCTTTACAAGATAACTTTATTTAAAAAGATAATTAACCAAACTTATCTAATCTATTTTAAATGATAACAACTTAAAACAAATAAATAACTTAAACTTCTTAAATTATAAAGATAATGGCTAAATAATAGGATCTAATTTTCAACAGTTTCCATGGCTCTTAATCCATCCTCATGAATGTGTGATCAGCAGCACCTTTTCTGAACTCAAAGCGGATCCTCCTTGCTTAAATATCAGCAGAAACACGGGATTTATAAACAAAACCACAGAGGAGTATTCATCCAAAAAAAAAAAAAAATCAAAGAGAGTGAAAGAACAGCTAAAGGAAGTAAAGTGATTCTGATCAAGTTGATTTTATAAGGGAGCCACATTCTCCTTGATTTTTTAATATTACATCATATTAACTCTAAAAATAAGTTTTGAAGTGAAAAATATAATAAAAAAAAGCAATATTCAGGGGCATGTGAGATACAACTCAAGCATTAATGAATAACCATTTTTAGCATTAGTACTGGCTAATTGCAGGGGGAGTACATAAAAAGAGCATGCATTAAGTATGCGATGTGTAAATGACAAGTGTTTGCATCAGTTGATTCATTCCATATTATGAGCTACGGTTATGAAACTGTTATCTACTACCTGTGCTAGACGAGTCCCATGTCCATTTGGGGCGAGCAAAAGAAGCCCCTGCCAGGCATTTCTAAATCCAACAATCTCAGTTAGGCCATCATCTACATATGAATAGTAAAGCCCATCTGCAAACCATTTGGGAGAAATCACAATATAATCTAACTGCAATTTCAGATACAGTCTCTACATTCAGTTCACACCTAATAGCAGATGACGGGCGAAATAAGGACTAACATCTCGATACTTCTGACTGTATGGTTTTCCCCATGGATCAAGCCCACCAGAGAAACTGGGCAAATTGAGGCAGACAATAGACCTGATACTGTAGAAGAAAGAAATGTTATTGATAAAAAGATAAAAAGACTGAAATGAGAAATTGAACCTTGATTAATATCAGAAGACAAAACCTTATTTAATACTCATTAAAGTGTTTCTAAGTCATTCTGCACGTTACGTAATTTACCATAACATTTAATAATTTTCTTAAAATAAATTATTTCCGTCCGATGCATGTCGACCAAAAAATAATTGAGTTCCAAAATAAATAGATTAATAAATTTAGCACGTGGTGGATTGCCTGTGCAGCTCTAGCGCTGCGCTTCCCTAAGGGGCATTTTTCTTTTTTTCAGTCAATGGCCCTTAGGGTTTTTTTTTTTTTTTTTTGAATGGGTTACATTTTGAGAGATGGGAAATTTGAATCCCAACTCTTAAGTAGAGGAGTGCACCTTGTTAAAAGACATATAGCAATTAAGTTACAAAAACCAGGTGCAGCGCTTAGGGCTATTTGGGCCATGGCTATACCAAACTAGTTATTAGGGTCATGTAAGATATTTATTAAAAAAAAGGTCTTATAAGATAGAATATATGTTTGATTTGTTTAATTTTATGGATTTAAAATTTTTTACGGTATTTACAAATTTTAGTTTATAAATTAATTTAAAATTGTTATTAAGTAATGAAATCATTAAATATACAATTTATACATATCATGATCTTAGTGGTTTACGGTGGACTTAATTTGTAATTGAAAGGTACTTTTGTCATATTGATTGGGAAAGCTCTTAGTAAGAGAATTGATTAGTTGAGTTAAACCTTTAACTCTTGTAACTTTATAAGGATCCACTAAGACCTAGATAGTTAAGTTGTTTAGAAAGAAATCTAAGTGATATTTGATGGATCCTTATTGTTATTAAGTAATGAAATCATTAAATATACAATTTATACATATCATGATCTTAGTGGTTTACGGTGGACTTAATTTGTAATTGAAAGGTACTTTTGTCATATTGATTGGGAAAGCTCTTGGTAAGAGAATTGATTAGTTGAGTTAAACCTTTAACTCTTGTAACCTTATAAGGATCCACTAAGACCTAGATAGTTAAGTTGTTTAGAAAGAAATCTAAGTGATATTTGATGGATC